GCTCCCCCTCCTGTGCTGCTTCTCCACGGCAGTCCTGCTTAACTGCACCCTGCCTGAAGCATACAATCTTTTGTTCTTGTCCTGTGTAACCACGGGAGTTCTGTAATCTTGCCCTACTATTTTCCCTTATAAAAACACCCCTCGGCTGAAAGCGGGGACTCCATTTGTTCCCCAACGAATGGGGTCCTTGCTGCAGCTCGTACCCTCGAGTCAATAAAGAAACCTTTGTCCTTGCATTCGTCTTGAGTCCTTGAGTCCCGTCTCCTTGTTGGCGGGTTCTTTTGGTGTTCCGAAATCTGGGCACAACACAACAACAACAAAACCAAAAAACAAAACAAAAACCTCTGTCCTGGGCTCAGGGGTTAAGAGCATGTGGTTTAACAGGAGCCAAAAGAAAGTGTAGTTATCTGGGGCATTTCAACCCTGAGTTTCTAGAAGAGGGTTGGGTACTTTCCTAAGGGACTTTACCCATAGCTGCCTACTGGAGAACACACTGAGGGGATGGTTAGGGTGGGGACGGAAAGGCCATGCAGGCGGTAACAACAGTCGTTTCGGTGTGTGCTTCTGGTGACTGGCAAGGAGTGCCTGTGGAATTAAATAGCTGACTTTGGAGTCTGCTTAAGTTGGGCCAACTAGATTACCTGATGTCTGTGAGGAAAAAGAGATACCAAGGTTTACCCTTGTTTGGGGGGAATGCAGAAGTTGGGTTTTGTCTTTTGAGATGTCTCAAACTGGAGACATCCAAGGATGGATGGCATGCATTGTAGGCAGCCGTGGGTTGGGTTCAGAATAGTGACCAAGAGAGCAGACCTAGCACACAACAATGACTCATTGGCCGGGTGTGGTGGCATAGGCTTATAATCCTACTCAGGAGGCTGAGGCAGGAGGACCATGAGTTCAAGGCCTGCCTGAACTACACAGTGAGTTTAAGGCCAGAACAAGTAAGGTAGCAAGGCCCTCTCTCAATTGTAAAGGGTTTGCCTAGCCTGGGCAAAGCTCTCATATTGATCCCCAGTTTACCCCTCAACCCCCACCTCCAGCCCACAAAAAAAAAAAAAAAAAAAAAAAAAAAAAAAAAAAAATCTCCCTTGGGGAATGAGGGTTCTATCAGGCAGGTCACGTAGCAGAAACAGAAATGATCAGCCGACACTGAGTCCCAAGCCATGGGCAGGTGTCAGTGGGCTAAGAGCAAGGTCAGCTGTAAGAGGATAACACAGGAAAAGCAGAGGTAGAGGAAGATGGAAGGATTTGAGATCAGCTCATGGTTCTGTGCAGCTGGAGGTGAAAGCAAGATAGCCAGAAGGAGAGGGATTTGTAGATGTTCTGAAGAGTGACGCCCACAAGAAGAGATTATGTGAACTAATGTGAACTAAAGCCTGCTAGAGGGGCTTCTCTGTGTAACAACTCTGGCTGTCCTGGAACTCACTTTGTAGAACAGGCTGGCCTCGAACTCACAGAGATCCACCTGCTGCTTCCTGCCAAGTGTTAAAGATGTGTACCACCACCACTCAGCTTCTGCTAGAGGCTTAATGGAGAAACGAGATCACATGATTTTCTTTTTCTTTTTTCTTTCTTTCTTTTTTTTTTTGTACTGCAGGCTGGCCTCAGACTCACTATGTGAGCTCAAGGATGGCTGTGAACTCCTGGTCTTTATGCCTTCAGTTTCCAAGTCCTGGGGTTACAAGTGTTGTTAGCCACCATGCTTAGCTCCTGAATTTCTCGTGTTTGAGAGACACGAAGATACTGGTGTACCAGACCAGAGTGTAGACACTTCCCATGTACACACTTGCCTATTCTTGGTCAGGCCAGTCTGGATGCTATGGACTAGTAGGACTTGGAAGGAGTGGCACCATGAATGTCAAGACTCATCTCTTGTGAGTTGAAGGTTGAGTAAGATGAGCTATGAATAAGCAAGAGGAGGGTGAGCTGAGTGGGTCCTGTGATGCCAAAGAGTGATGTGGCAAAAGTCGGAGCCACAGGGCCACGGCCTGGGCATACCCTCTTAACCATCTTTGTTTGATTTTTCAGACATCTCTTCTCCCCCGCTGCCTCAGTGTTCTCATCGACACAGAGCACAGTAACCTTCAAAGATGTGACCAGGAGTGGGAACTCCTTGGTGCAGCCCAAAGGCACCTGGTTCTACCAAGCGACTGGGAAATGAGCTCAATGCATCCCTTCATTGTATCTTGTTTTCCTGCCTCAGCACAGTGGCCTGCTTCTGCTTTCTACCTTTTCTCCATCCCAGGTTCAGACTACCTGAAGGCCAGGTCCTGGACATGCTTCTTTCCCTTGTGCCTGCTGTAGGTGCCCTGAGTTCTGGACTTTTCTGTCTCTTTCCCTGTGCAGCCTCAAGAGCAGTCAGCTTTTTCTTTTTCCTTTCTTTTTTTAAACATTTATTTATTATGTATATTGTTCTGCCCGCATGTATCCCTGCAGGCCAGAAGAGGGCACCAGATCTCATTACAGATGATAGTGAGCCACCAGGCGGTTGCTGGGAATTGAACTCAGGATGTCTGGGAGAGCAGCAGCTAATACTTTTAGCCTCTGAGCCATCTCTCCAGCCTGGTTTTCCTTAGATTAAGAAAAAAATTATAGACTGGCAGGGGTGGCACACGCTTTTGATCCGGGCACTTGGGAGGCAGAGGCAGGTAGATCTCTGAGTTCCAGGCTAACATGGTCTTCAGAGCGAGTTCAGGATAGCCAAGGCTATAGAGAGAAGCCTTGGCTCAAACCACCAAAAAAAAAAAAAAAAAAAATCTTTAAAGACAGATCTCACTGTGTAGCATCGCTGGCCTGGATCTCAGAGAGAGCTCCTTGTCCCTGCCTCTTGAGTGCTGGACAAACCAATAAGACTTTCTCTAGAAGACTCAAGAACCAGCTTCACTCAAGCCAACCTTGATTACAGTTGTTTTCTGAGGATAGAACTATGATTTTTCACAGTCTATGTACTTGTGGGGTCTCTCTTCCTTGTGAAACTGATGGTGCCAACCATGACAGGTGTTATGTTTTTATTTTAAAAGGAGGAAAAGAGAAAGATGCAAGATGAGACATGTTAACTAGTTTATTAAAGGCCCGGCAGAGTAGGGAGACTGAGAGAGAAGAGGAACAGGGGTAATGGCTGACCGCCATGGCCGGTCGCCATAGAGAGGCAGAGAAAGCTCGTAGGTGGGAGAAAAGAAGAGCAGAGAAGGAGTGAGCAGAGAGAGAGCGGCGTAAAGAGAGGAAGCAGAGAGAGGGAGCAGAGAGAGAGTGAAGCAAGAAAGTTGGAGCTTTTAAAGGGAAGACTGCACATGCACACTGCGGTTCCACGCGTGCCCAGAGCACTCATGCGTGGCGGGTGACGTGGTGATGACTTAGCACATTTTCTTGTGCGAGCCCTAACTGTTGTCAGGGGGCAGGGTCTGTCTCTTAAAGAGATACAGCCAAACAGAGTTAAAGCCTGAACCTTTCAGCAGGACCTGATGGTGAAGGTTGTCCCACACAGGCTACACTTGCGGGGCAGCTCACCAGCATGGACTTGCAAGTGTTAATACAGGCCAGACTGGGTCATGTAAGGTTTTCCCACACTGTTTGCTCTCAAAAGGCCTCTTTCCAGTGTGCACTCTTTGATGAAGGATGCTGCTGCCTTTAAAACACTTGCCACATTTCTTTCACTCATAGGGTCTTTCTTCAACACGAACATT